TGTCATCCTCTGACTCTTAGGATAAAGATATACACGTTCCAATTTTTTTCATGAATTTCTCTCTAATTTCTTCCATTTGGTGTCCACGATTCTACTAAAATGCACTTGTGTGAAAAAATGTGCTCGGGGTGATGGTCTGTGGAAAAAACATACCTGAAGATGTTGACTACTTTTTAAGCGATTTCTAGCACTGGTATCATCGCTGTGAGTACACAATGTTTGTGGAATGATGGGTTGTTGACGAATGGCAAATATGTATGGAGTGTCAGTGCATCGATATGGCAGAGTACCTGGAAAAGAAGCTATGGTAATTTTTTCTACACTTCAAAAAGATGTCTATTGTCAATTGTAAAATTCTAGTATTATTTTCCGATTGTGTCCGCCGAATAAAAGTGTCTTGCACTTAGTTTTTCCTATTTTTGATTTCTCGATTAATTTCTTCACGATGTTGTTCATATCGTGTAGTAATCATGTCTTCATTGATCATGGGTTGAATAAGTAATGGGTATTCTTTCCTGAGAACTACGTCCAGTAGAAGTTGGAGGATTTTCTAATTATTGACATGAAAATTTCACAATTTATTATCTACAGAAGGAGTTCCCACATTTCGGAAGAAATAAGGATAAGATTTCGCAAAATCCAGGCTCTTTAGATCTGCTCTGTTATTTCTTATTTTAAGTTTTCAAGAAATAGGATCGAAATGTCGATAAATGTGATCATGATATAAAAATTGACATGCACTCAGCAAGATTTGTTTGCGTGGACGTTGACGTCTCCGCTGTAATGGCTTGAAAGCAATCTTGAGCACATCATGTAGTGGTGATCCGAGTGACTTGTGGTTTTGGTTTCGACTGAGAACATCGTATTCACCGGATTGTTTAAGATCCCTTCTTCTCAGGCGTAACGATTGTGGTAGGGCTCCTGGTAAATTTCATAGATAAGAGATTTTTGTTCAAATACGATTTTTTGTAGGTAGAAAATTTTCGTGTAAATGGTGAGCAGAGCTTTCCGCTTATTAAATATGATGTCACGAAGAGATGTAACGTGCCGTCTCCACATCTATCAATGCCTTTCATATATTTTTTTATTGCCTTTATCATTGAATCAATGTCATAATACTATTACTAGTACTATTATGAAAACAATAGTGCTTTAAATACCCGTAATTCAAGTTTTCAGGTGGCACACTTTGGATAGATCGATTGGAAAACTCTACCCGAATGGTTACCCGATATGAACAGTCTGTACTCCCTCTAACATTTCACCGTCATCCCATTATTATACGTAATTACAATATGTAATGGAATTTTCTCCTCAGTAGGTCTTCCCAAGGTGAAGAGTCGCAATACCAAATCGGAATCAGCCAAAACAAGACAGGGTAAGCCAGCGTCAATAATCATTGTCAATTCACTAGCATCCTATAAATGCTATAATTGTACTATTTTGAGGTACCAGAGATCTTTCCAGTTCAAGGAGAACGACTACCTATGGTAATGCCTTAGGAATCCCGGACACAACTATCAAGATGCTACACATGTATAGAGAAGGAAGAGGAAATTTTTCCTAATCAAACTCTTCGTGATATGGATTTTGTTCTGGTATCAGCAAGATGCTTCGTGTATGCAATTCCAAGTACCAGCCCTGCCAGTACAAGTCTTCTTCAGAAAAACCAGGAATTTTTTTCTCAAGAATTATTACGAATTTTTTGCACGTATAAACGTGAAAACGTGTACAATTCCTATTTACGATACAGATAGCGTTGGTTGAATATGATTAATGGGCTGTCCAACAAGATAAAAAAAGACGAGAAGAGCTAACCTTTCGTCTTCCCATGAGAAAATTTACGATAAACGAAACAGGTTCTGCAAATTAAGAATTCTCAAAAGACAATTCTTTCAAATGAAAAAATGAAATGAAACAGACAGTTATATCTGTGCACAACTATTTGAATCATCAAAAGTATGCCTTAACCGACAAGGTATGCAAGTCTTCCCTCAACTGAGAAGAAGCATTCTTCATGCAAGAAGAAAAATCTAGCCAGATAGACCAACTGTTTGTAACCGATGAAACGATACTGGGCAATACCACATGATCTGGAGGGTATAATGATGTTGGTGTGAGAAGACAAGAAGGTCATCACAATTCAAGACGCAGACATTTCTATCATATCGCCAAGGTTTTGGGCTCTTGAGAGTGTCAATCAAAAGAAGTACTCCGTAGACTTAGACGCATAGAACATTCATAGTGATAAAGTACAGAACAGGTCCTTGAGCTTGACATGAACGTTTCTTGTGTTGTATTGGAAGCAGGAGTGGTTGCCACACCGTGGGACTTCTTTTTCCGTATAAAAGAAGATGCGTTGACATTTGGGTTCAAAAGGTGGAGACGATTACACTAGGTGATATCAGTGCACTAGGATTTCCAAGTACAACTTTAAACATACTAAGCAGATTACAATTAGATACCGCATTTCTATGTAGCATCTTTGATTGGAGTGTTCCAATACTCATGAAACTCTACCTTACTGCAAAATATGAGCTTCAAGCGAAGATTGGCAAGTTGCTAAGAACTAACCTCTTTAGATTATTCTTTTTACATAGCACTTGTAAAATAGATTCTTATAATTGTATACTGTAAAAAGTTGTTTAGTACAACTTTGCACATATGATTGAAAGATTGTAGTAACAATAGATTCTATATCAAACCGGTTGAAGCTTTTGATTAGCACATGCTTTGTGTTCATTGGACCACTCTGTAGAAGTCTCGGCACTAACATCGCCTTGTGATAAAGAATAGATGTCACAGAGTTCCAAACTTCCGCTTCAAATACAACGAAAAAGACATTTTTGCACCATCTTTACCCGCGACGTCTCTGGATTGCATGCTCTTTAGAAAAGCAGTGGTTTCGCGCTGAAAACTTGAAGAAAAGATTTTCGTAAATCATTGAATTAGAGAGTAGCTTTTTCTTAGCCATGTCTTACACAACATCTGCATTAGAAACTATCGAATGAACACGGAAAGTATGGCGGAAAATAAGCTTTAAGCAGCTGAATAAATCATTGAGAAGAAACGCATTGGACGCAATGCATTTCGGCCACTTCACTACCTACGCATGCTTCGCACACAAGTGCATTTCAGGCGTTAAGTGCTAAAAACTGTCTCACTCTAGTGTAAAGGCCTCACATGCATTTAGTCACCTCAAACGATGCTTAATGAAGTTGGATGCATGGCGCATCTCTCAGGGATTGATCAACGCCGAGAGCATTTTACTTTGTGTCCTTTTAGGCGATAAAAAACAAACTTATGCAATTAACGAGATGAATAATCCGCGTTCAAAAAAATGACATTCTTATTGCTTGTTTCCCTCAAATTACTTGATGCTCTAGTCTATTCTGTCGTCAACGTTGTTAAGCAAAATGACACGCTTTCACATCCATCTGCACATATGCCTAGAATTCTCATAGATCCACCCTTGATGCTCTTGCAACTCCAACCACTTGCTCTTTTACTCCAGATACGTACCGTTGGAGCATTCAGAAATACTTTGTTTCGCTGCTTGAGAACGGGATTAGAAAAACGTTCTTCCATGATTTTATTGAACTTCAGGAGAAAATCGACTACTCTTCAAGCTCTGCCCAAATCGGCCAGTATTCATCTGATGTGCTACTAATATCCGCTAGTGTTAGGATGCACTTGTAGGAAGGAATGTAAGAATCAATGGTGTAATATCCGGACTCCAAAGAATATGCTAATTTCGCTAGAATTCAAAATTCTAAAAGTATTTATTGCTCAGCCCCTAATACCATTTTTTAGAAATTTCTCGTTATTTTTTCCACTGTTAGTACCTTTCCTTACTCATCACTCATAAAAGCCTTCTCCTACAAACCCTCAAAACCGATTTGGAAAAAATTTTTCCAGGAAAATAGAGGGTAAATACTTTTACTCACTTTGAAAAGATGCTAATGAGTAGATGCCACTTGCGAAGACTAATGTACTCTAGGTAACTTAATGACTTGGCTAAGCACAAAGTATCACAAATTGAGATAAATTTGTACGCTAATTCGTATATTTCAACCGATCGATACATACAGAATGTACGGCGGCGGTGGCCGCGTGCTGAAACATAATGGACGTTGCCAGATATATGCCTGTTTTTTATGACGGCGACGCGAAAAACCTGTTCGTCGAAGGAAAATTTGAATTCTAACAAGTGCACGACGACGAACATCATCTCGATACTGATCCGTGGAACACGGGAATATCACATTTCTTCTAAACACAAGTGTAATGTGCGCCAAAAGACAATATCTTCTTCTGTGAAATACTTCACTTCCTAGAGATGTTCGAATAGTCACCGATGCCTTTCCCTCAAGTCAAGTATGGAATGGATGAATGCCATCACGAAGCGTCCTAAATCGGCCAGAGTGATAGAGTACGACAGATGTGAACATCTCAGCTCAGGGGCTGGGTAGTGGACAAATGATTGGATAAAAAACGACAATGAGTTCGATAGCCGGACCTCATCAGCAATACCCACCAGAGACCTCCTGGGATTATTGCAATAGAGGTAACTGTAGTAGCAAGCGTCATAACCATAATCGCCCTATTTCTGAACATCAAAAAGAGAGTAGTAGAAGAGCAGTGACCTCAATGGTGTAATGGTAGAACGAGGCCTCCGCACGGGAGAAACGCGGGTTCAATTCTCGCCTCGGGTATAGGGGTTGTAGAAATCACTCGGCATCTTTGGCTTTATAATTATAACATCATCATGCTGCTATGAGGACGTAAAATAATGAATTTCTGTAGGTTATACTTCTGAACAAACTGCGTTAGGTCAAAACTTTTCACGTACCGAACTCTGCTAGTAGATCGAAACTTCACTACCTTATCATCTGGTTTGAAGGAATGTTTTGAGCCTTCAACAATTAAAAGGTATTAGATCAAATGCGCGCCAAACAGTCACTAGTAAGAATTGAAGTAAGAGTAGTAGGGGAACAGGGGCCTCGGTTGCGCAGAGGTAAACACGCGCTCCAGGAAAGGGTGAGACGCGCGTTCGACTCTCGTCCGAGGTCCAGAGTTTTGCACCTCGCTTAACATTGCTGAATATAAGTTCGGAATCAGGTATCATATCCCAAGATTTGCACTTTTCTGTGCCGAGCAGCTGCGCCAAGTACTCAGCTGATCATCCTCTATTGAAGAGTTTCAACTGTGCTCTTCCAGCATTCGCACAAGAGTCGGTGCCTGAAGAGCTTAGGCGATGTAGATGCCCTGCTTGAGGTACATCGTTTTTGAGGTCTACTTTCCTGTAGATAACGTGACCAAAACCTATTTTTCTGCAGTAGATGAGATTTGCTGACCACCTGGCACGATTATAGACGGGGACTTGACAAAACCGAACGCTGTTCTACGCAGGACGTGGATGTTCTTCCTGAAGCCGACCGTCATCGAGGCTTGTTTTCCTGCAGTAGATGACGTCATCGAGGCCCACTTTCCTGAAGTAGATGGCGTCATCGAGGTCCACTTTCTTAAAATAGATGACGTCATCGAGGCCCGTTTTCCTGCAAGTTATAAGAGTTGCTGACCTGTAGGCACGATTATAGACAGGACTCGGCGAGCGAACGCCGCCTTGTACGGGACGTAGACGTTCTGCTTGAAGCACAAAAACTATCGAGGCCTATTTTCTTGCAATAAATAACTTCATTAGATCGAAACACGTGTATCGGGCTCTATAAGTCAGCCCTCATTGACACACCACTGACATGCGTGGCTCAAATAATGATTATCAGGCATATTGAAACTTCATTAGGCTTATTTCCTGCAGCAGATGACGTCAGCGAGTCCTATCTTTCTGCAATAGATGACGTCATCCAGGCCTATTTCCCTGCATCGATGAGGGGTGCTGACCTCTGGGCACGATTATAGACGGGGACTTGGCAAGACCGAATGCCATCCTGTACAAGGCGTAGATGGTCTCCTTTAAGCACACCGTTATAGATTGCTAATTCCTTCAGAAGATGACGTTATCGAGGCCTGTTACCTCGCAGCAGACGAAGGTTGCTGACCTACTGGCACGACCATAGACGGCTACTTGACGGGACCGAACGCCTCGTCAAGTGCTGGCCGACCTGGGGAACAATGACGTCACGAAGAGGGTGCAAGGCGAAGCAGCGAGGCTCGCGTATCGGGACGGTGGCGACGGAGTCGCAACGCGGGTCGCGCCGCCGCGCAAGAGAGCGTGCTTTTGGCGGAGTGCGACAGACGCTCGATCAGGGTCGTTGGAGGGGGACGCTAGAATTTGAATCCACCCGCTGAACACCCAACGGAAAGTACCGGGAATCTGAACTCCTCGTCGACCGATACCAGTTACTTCGGTGCCTTTCCTCGGTTCGGACCACCTATTTCGTGTCCTTTGGTTCTGTTCATCTTCGGAACGACTTGATTTCATGGGCCTGTCATGGGCTTTTCGTGGGCTCTTCATGGGCCCTTCATAGGCCTTTCGTAGGCCTAGTCGCTTCTCGATGTTCGAAGTAGCTTTAGCTTAGACGATTTGAACTGAGTCACTTTTTCACATTTTTTTTTTTGGTTCACAGTTTTGTACCATCTTATTCTATAATGATTTCATCCGTATCAAAGCCTTTCCATATGCTTCCCAGTTATTTTACCCGATTGTTCCTCCCTCAAATCCCGTCGAATAGGCCTATTTCTACGTCGTATTTCAGGATTTCGTCTATCGACGGCTATTCTACGAGATCATTTCTGGATAGTCGACAGCAGCTGAGACTCTGATCGTTCCCGCTGTGATCGTTTCGATATCGTCGGAACGACGCTGCTACGAGAACAAGACTCGGCTTGTGTTCTATGGACGCGCAAAGAGTGTATGATCAACAGGTAGTATCTTGTTTACTTCTTGTGATCTATTCACCTCTTTTGTCGACCTATTTGTTTATTTGTTTACTTGACACGACTCGTCATCACAATTTTGTATTTTGTGATCAAAAGGTGACAAATCGAAAACCGATCTCATTCGCTAGACAAAGACTTTTCATAGGAGCGTTAGTAATTATTTGAAAGCGTGGATTTTTGGCTACAGCCTTACGTGGTCGATTTTCGAGAAAACTCTCTTATAACGCTGTAAAATCTAGACAAAACTATGCCTCAGACGCGCATATTTCTCTCCGCATAGAGCTTTTTCTTTGGACTGTTAGTAATCATTCGATAGCGTAATCGTTTCTGATTTCAACGCCATGCTTATATCATAAAAAGCCGTTTCTTTGAAACGCGGCAGGTGAAATAAGTTGAATTTCCACCTGTTGCGCATCAGAGAAACGGTCTTTTCTAGACATAAGTACAGCGTCGGAAACAGAAACGATTACGCTACCGAATGGTTACTAATAGTCCAAAGAAAAAAGCTCTGTCCGGCAAGGAATATGCGTGTCTTCAACGCAAGAAATCTCCCCCTGTAGCAACGTCAAAAAGAGGCTCTTTCGTAAACCGGTAACTTGGACTGTAGCCTGAAGTCTCAGCAGCTTTCGATTGGTTACTAACACACTTATGAACAGTTCCTCTCCAGCCAATGAGGTCGATTTTTCATTCGTCCCCCTACCAAGAACCACTATTTTTGTGAGGATCCCATCATTTCTTGGATTCGATTTGTTTCTTTTCACACATCGTCCACGAAGGTCTCCGAACATCTCATGTGTTCTTCCGGCTGCTGCTTGGATTCGTCTTCTTCATGAATATCGTATGATGCTGATTGAGACGACTCATATTGCAACATGGAGATAGCCGAGCTCTAAGGCGTTCCCTTAAGGTGTTCAGTCAATCGTTTGAAAAGGGTGTTGAGGGAAGAGGTCGAACCATCGCTTTACTCATCAGCCCGACTTTTGATACACTGCATCACTGGCCTTTGCGCTCTCCCTCCACCCATTCCCTTATTCAAAGAAGCCTCCAAAAAGCCAAAAAGAGCAACTCATGAGAAACTAATGTTGAATGTTCCTAGACGACAATACCGTTCGTAGTTTTCCCGATATCTCTGTTTAAATCAATAAAGATCCCACATTTCATATAGCAGTACTATGATGTGGTGACTATAATGACTAAGGATTTTGAGTGTTATGCAGAAAATTTGAGCGCTTGTAGTGCGGATTAGATGTTCTCGACGCGCACGAGAACGATGGTTCGATTCCACGATCAAGAATCACCAATCCTCCCATCCCTACGGGGTCGAGGATTTAGTGTCAAACTTATCTGAAAGAATAGCAGAACTGACTCGATAGATCAGTGGACCTCTGCGAGTCATCATAAAGGCCAGAAATGCATCCGATCACCTTTAACGATCTTTGATAAAGTCAAATGCCTAGCGCATTCCTCGAGGATTGATCAACGTCAAGCGCTTTCTCCTTTTTTGAGCTGAAGATCTCGCCTCCGTAAAGGTGGGATGCAGTTACAGTTCCCGTTAGGTTCAAAGTTTTGCTTGTCTTTCAAAAGTTCTTACTCTTTCCGATGCATTCCTTGTTTGATCTCCTGGCTCAATTTAGATAGCTTCGACGTCACGTTTTCATCAGTATCCTAAACCGGAAATGATGCAGCAATATCCACCGGCTTGCAGGCAAAACATGTAAGGATCTCGGATTCTTGCTTAGTCTCTTCTTGACAGGTTTTTTTGGAAAAATTTCGTGAAGTAATAGGTATTTTTTACTTACTCATTGTATTACTCTTGCAGTGGTGCAGCAATAGGCTCAAAAAGTTGATTTTGATGTTCTTAATTTGCAGGGCGCATATGTATCCTCCAAGTTATCCTCGATCTCCATCTCGAGTTCCTCAATCAGATCACACCAGCCATTGGATGAATGGTCCGTACAATGCGGTCTATGCCAATTCACCTGTGAGTTGTGTTGAATTTCGAATTACTTAAAACAGTTGCCATAAGGTTTTTCTCATTTTCATGCTTCAGATACCATCTGCAGCTCCTTCGGTGATGTCTCATGTAAGCATGCCGGATGACCTCGTCTCTGTGATGAGCGTTCAAACGACTCTTAACGCCGCCAATACAGCAGGATCCTGCCCCCAAGACTCCAGTTTTACTGAACTGGTGAGTTTTCCTCATTTGTTTGGATAGAAGTGGAGTTCGCAAGATATCACTTTCATTGATCTACAGATTTTCTGGACTTGCAGCTAATTAAATAGTGTTACAATTATATACATCAATGATGTTGGGTGATATGCAGAACATTCGACCTCAAACGTTCCCGATATGGGTAAAATGCCGGCTTACCTCCCGTTTGGGGTTTTATTTTTGCATATCATTTAACATCACAAGTTATATTAATTTATTTATTTTGAATTTCAGCGACCACAGTCGCAGTTCTCTTCCTCGGCATCAACGCCTCCTTGTACAGAAAACGTCGATCCGGCCACTATTCAAGAAGTTCGCAGAAACATCGCTTACTCTATAAATAACTTTTACAGCAATGACGTCAGTGGTCTACTCCGGTTCCCTTATAGTAAAGAGGTTTTATACGATTATTTATTGAGTTGATTTTAGCAGTTCAAAATCATACAATGTGTCTGTCATTATGCTCAGCGGAATATGCTTCAATTTGTCGATGTGGGAAGCGTTCACAAATTACTTGTGCTTATCACACAGCTGCTTAAGAATATCATTGATCCCAACGTGAGTCTACACTTTTATTTGCCATGTTCTACTACACATTTTATTTATTTCACTCCCTTATAATACTCGAATTTAGCTAGATTTTCGCAGTTTTTTTTTCTACAAATTTGATGTTACATACTTCCTTTTACTTTTTTTTTCTGTGTAACTGCATCAAGGAGCCCGTGGCCAAGTGTTGTGATGCTCAGTGTGGCTCGATGCGAAGTTAATCCCTCCTAACTCCCTGACACTCCAGCAAATGCCTAGGGTTAAGCAGAAATCTCTGGCTAATTTTAGAAAGTTTCGTTTTTATGGGCAAATTAATGACAGAAGCAGCAATAATTATTCCTCAAAGTATAAACCACTATTGTCCATGACGTTGTTTCCATAGTTCTGTAGTATACCGAATCTGCTTGGAGT